GCCGGCGAGATGCTACACTTATGGCTAGCCAGCGGTTCTCAACCTGTGGGTCGCGACTCCTTTGGCGGTTGAACGACCCTTTCACAGGGGTCGCCTAAGACCATCCTGCAGATCAGATATTTACATGCCGAGTCATAACAGTAGCAACATTACAGTTATGAAGTAGCAACGAAAATAATTTTATGGTTGGGTCACAACATGAGGAGCTGTATTTAAAGGGCCAGAAGGTTGAGAACCACTGGGCTAGCCTCACGTGGTCATCATTGCGCTTCGTCCGCTGGGGGATTTCAACAGTCAGATAGGACAAAGAAGGCTGACAGAGGGAGAGGGTAAGGGTTTAGCAAGATGAAGTGTTTCTCTGGAAATTCAGCATGTACCTCATCAAATCCTAGAAGAACATCGATTTTAAAATCATGTCCTACCTCTTGGGCATGCCTCCTAGAGGGTTATCAAAAGAGAACAGGCTGCCCTGACCGGTTTGGCTCAGTGGATAGAGTGTCGGCTTTCGGACTGAAAGGTCCCAGGTTCGATTCCGGTCAAGGGCATGTGCCTTGGTTGCGGGCACATCCCCAGTGGGGGGCATGCAGGAGGCAGCTGATCGGTGTTTCTCATCAATGTTTCTGACTGTCCCTCTCCCTTCCTCTCTGTAAAAAAATCAATAAAATATATTAAAAAAAAAAAAAAAAGAGAACAGGCAAGAGCTATTCCACCGACCTTCCCATGCTGCTAACATATTTGATTGTGGTGCAAAGAGTCAGTTCTTTTCCATCAAATTTCACTCTCCATTGACCTTTTCGAGGAATCAGAAGGTGATCATTCTAGATACATTTTGGGAGAAGTCCACAGCCCTTAGGTTAGTGGTTCTCAACCTTGGCTGCACATTAGAATCACCTGGGAATCTTTTTAAAATCCTGAACAGAATTTCCGGAGGATGAGGCCCAGAAATCAGGATTTTAAAAAGATTCCCAGGTGATTCTAATGTGCAGCCAAGGTTGAGAACCATTGCCTTAGGTTCAGGATTCACCCTAAAAATGGGAAACAATAACGTCTTAGCATTTTCCTCTCAGATTCAGATGAAAAAAGCACCTTTAACCAAGAAAGACACGTGAGGGCTGGAGCTATGTCTTCTTATTTACAACTGTATCTCTGTGGTGAATAAAACACCAAGCAGGCATTGCACAGTTAATACATATTGGTGGGGGTCATCTAATGACCTAGTGCACAAGCTCAATAACATGTAGTTGGCTATAAGCTTCGACTCAAAATCAGCACAACTGGGGACAGTGGCAAATGAGCATTCAAAGCTCTTTAAATGTTTGTAAAAATATATTTAAAATTGTGCTGTCTCACACAACACTCACGTATTCGATGGTTACCCCAAAACACCATGTTAAGTAGCATCTCCAACAATGAAGGGGGAGAGTGTATGTGGAAGCCCTAATATGCGTTCATTACTAGGTGAGACACTACTAGACATAAGAGAATATACGAATATGAATGTAGAGGGCACAGCCCCTGCCCACAAAAGTCTCAGAAACCGAGTAGGCATGGCGCTAGCAATGTGACTAGAGAGATAAGAGTTAAAAACCAGCCAGGTAACTAGATGTCTCCGAAACGTATTTTCTCCTTCGCTTACTTCACTGCACATCTGTGTCTTAAATTTGTAATTTAGCCTCTTCTCATTACATGCAAATAAAATACAGTTGAACCTCAAATTGGTGTGTTTAATTCTCCTAGATTGCAGTGTCAGTCTCTCTTAAAAGTGAGAAATGGGGGGTGGGGGAGGGTATTTTTCTTTCTCTCTTGCTAGGCCCGGGAAGGTGTTACTCGGGTAAATCAAGCTATAAGTGCTTTCAACGGTATGAAGCGGTATGTTTTCCATTCACATTCTTGAGCTAAGAAAGGCGGAAGAGTTCTTTATTTGGGGGACCGTGATGTTGGTTTCAAAACTCACTGTCTTTCTGGTAAGCAGAAAACTGGCCCCATACATTGAGAAAGAATCTAAAGTTCTTTTTTGTGTCTTGTGGAGTTAGATGCTTCTTTAGGGAAACCCACAGATCTCCCTGGTTCATTTAAAGGAGACAGTATCTAAGTCCCAGGGTGTGGGAGAGGCCAGCGCTGGAAGAGGCCCTGGACAGGGGCTCGGCTCGGAGGTCATTAGGACTTTGAATGCCCCCTCTCCCCTACACACACAACCCCCACCGCATACACCCCCTCCTTGCACACGCAGCCCAAGAGCTGTGTTGTTCTGGCAGAATCGTGTAGCTTTAAAATGCTGTCCTTTGGGGGCTGCAAACGTGGCTGCGATGGTTGAGGAATCTGGGATTTAGGAAAGAGTGAGTCTGCCCTGAGAGCCTTTGCCGGGCCTCTCGCTTCCCCTATTTTGCGTTACTAGGCCTGTCCGTTCAAAATTTGCAGAAGTCCCAGGCAGGACCGTGGGGCCCTCGGCTCTTACTTCACCTCCCTTGGCCTGTTGCCTCCTGGGGGTGCGGAAGGACTCAAAGATGTGGGGGTGCAGGGGCTCCTTCGTTTGAGATGATCCCCCATTCGAATGGTGAACCGCAGGTCCCCTGGTATCCGGGAGGGAGACGTCCTTTTCAAACACTCTCTCCTAAGTAGCAGCGTAAAAGCCCAGACTGGCTCAGAAATACCCCGGCCCTTCTGGGAAGGTTCTCTCCTGGGAAGAAAACAGAATTCACTTCCCCCATCAAATTAAAATAAAATAAAAAGTAACCTCTCCCACCCCCATCCCCACACGCAGTTCAGGGCGGTATGTGCAGAAGCTTCTGAATTGGCCCAGCCCACGCGCACTAAGCAGCCAAAATGCAATCGTTACCAGATTGTTCATTTCACTTTTTTTTCTTTCTTTTCCTCCCTCCATGTTAGCTTTGACCTCCCAGGAGAGAAAGGACTCCTCTTCCATCCATCCCTGGACTTCAAGGATCACCCCTTCCCCCTTAATGCTCATTTTTTTCGTTTTAAACGGAGGAGCCCTGGAGCTGTGTTCATCTCCAATCCTCCTTCATCTTTGCATTGTTTGAAAAGTGCACACAGCGAAAGGCTGGCCTGGTGTCTCTTTGTGCCTGGGGCACGCTCCATCTGCCCACGCCCTTCCTTGCAGCAGGAAAAAAAATGCAGGGCCGGAGGGCCGGCTCCAGACCTCTGTGCTCACTGCGCAGCTGTGGCCCGTCAGGTTTTGTAGCCTCGGGTACACGTCCTCTCCCTTGCAATGCAGATAAAGGCTTCTAGCTGCTGCTGCTGCTGCTGCTGCTGCTGCGGTTGCTTGTCTCAACCACAGGTAAATGGTTTCCTGTGCATTTCTCAAAATAAGTGTTGAGCAAAGGAAAGGAAATGGACCTGCTTAATAATGATCAACAATTTGCCCCCCACCTCTCCTTCAATAAGGTTTTCATAAGTCAGTTTTTTTGGGGGGGGGGGAGTGAGTTGAACTTCTTGGACTCTTGCACTGGGAACCTTAGCTTTGCGGAGATATTGGGGAAACGACCCTCCTTAAATGTTCCCACTGAGTACTGACCCCCTAGCTCCCTTTCTGTACACTAAATGCCCACATACAGGGCTTGGCTTCTCCCCCAAAGCCACCAGTTCAAATAGGCACTTCAAAGTGAGTGAGAAGTTCTGGACTCAAGAAAGGCAAGAAGCCCTGGAGATGAGCCAATGCAGTCCTACTGGACTTAAACGTGGCACCAATTTCAACCCTGGCTTCATCCAAAGGCTTTATTATGTGAGAGTTTTAAAATCCTATTCATTGTACGTGCACTTATTTTCTAAAAGCAGCTTTAAATATTGAACTCTAATTAGAACCCATTAGATGAGGAAAAACATGTGTGGAATCCTTTGACGAAACAGCTGTTAAAAATGTATTTTCCCTAACGGACGGGAATGCGTAAATCCTGTTGTGTCAGTGTTGGTAATTCGCTCACTAGCCAAGTTCAATTTCACACCTAAGACATTGTGCTGTGAATTATCTTTTTTTTTTTTCCAGCCAGGTACAATTCAGCATTGGCTTGTCACTCTATAAAGAACTGCAAATGTATCTTTATCTGTTTTTATATAATTCATGCTAGGAACTCAACCCTAAGAAAATGACCTCCCAGTTACCTAGCACAGCTGAGGTATCGCACACACCAGCGTGAAACCCCTTTGACCAGATGTTCCTCATTTATCGCTCCCCAGTGAGACCCTTTCCCAAAGGGTTCCGCCGCGAATCAGGCGCTCCTCCCAGACACCACACACGTCACACCAGCCAGGTTTTAAAACTTTTTATTTGCATATTAAAAAAATTGTGCATTCCAATAATTAAAATCATTTGAACAAAAAAAAATGGCACTCTGATTAAACTGCATTTTACAGCCCGCAGGACCCCTTGGACCAGCTTGGTTTTAACTCTAGATTTCACCCTCGTCCCACCCAGCTCCTTCCTTCACCAACATGCAAGTTGTCCCCCTTCCCCGCCAGCCAGCCAGGCAGATGGGAGCGGCAGTAATTCTGATGTGAAAAGGGGCAGCACAGTCACTTAAACTGATCCAACCTCTTTGCATCTTACAAAGTTAAACAGCTAAAAGAAGTAAAATAAGAAGGCAATGCTTGTGGAATGTACAGTGCATATTGGCGGCGCGTGCCTCATTACGATTCGCCTGCTTGCTTCTCCTGTTCAATCGCTGTGATTGGAAAGAAAAAGAAAAAAAAAAAGACGGAGGCGGTCAGTTAGGCGGATCCGGTGGAGCCTAGTATAGAAGACCACAGTGCTTTTCGTTTAAAATATCCTTCCGAATGATAAAAACTCTCCAAGTACCGAGAGGCACTTCATCACGAAGGCTTTTATTCAATAGGAACATTAGACAGATAAAAGCCTGCGCCTATGACTATGACATATTAAACATTCCTTCATTGAGTTATTAAAGCTGCAGGATG